TAAGCACATCAGTTTCCAAATTAATGCAATAAATAAATTAACCAGACAGGACACATTAAAACGACATTTATGGAAATAGAGATGGAAAAAGTGAAAATATTTCCATTTTATTGGTATTGTTCAGATTTTATAACTTGTATTAAAACTAAACATATTGTACTTACTCGTAATATGAACCAAATATATAATAATAGAATAGCTATATTGCTGACCGAACGTTAATGTTGATGAGCACCAATGCTGTAATTTGTGCGGTCGTCGTCGACCATTAATTATCCTAACGAATGATGAATCATTTATTTTTGTTTTAAATAATGAAGCACCGGAACATGTTTTAGATACTATTTTATGGACAGATTATTAATTTGCTTAACACAAGTTCGGAAAAGTCAGAAATTTGTAATTTATGCAAGTTTTACGTTATATGCTATTGCAGATTTTGACGACAGTGATAATTAAAAACTGTGTACCGTGCAGTGGCGGTGTAAGAATATCCACTATCCTATATTGTACCGCGAGTGTCATAAGAGGCGACAGAGGAAAATTGAACCAGCAGGTCCAATAACAACTAAAAAATAAAAACTTTTTGTTGCCAACCCGCCTGCCAAGCGTGGCAACTAACGAAAATATTACCACAGTTTACTGTGATATTACCCGAAAACAATCTATGGGGGGGGCCTGTATATAGCAGTGGACTATTAAGTAATACTGACCAAGGTTATTAACTGCAATGGCCATAAGGGTAGCAATTAAAGAGCCAATATCTCGTCATGACCTCCTAGGATGTCAGAGATTTGAAGAAAATAGCCACGTACAAAACATGAAATCAACATATATCCTTTTTGAGCAAACATTGGCTCTGACTGGTATTTGAACCGTAGACCTGCTAAGTTTTTCAGGATAAAATTTCAAGGATTAATCCTACAATCTTTAAATAGTTATACAGTAATATATATATAACAATTCATACACATCTATTTTTAGGTTTACGCACGTTTTCTTGCAAAAGACCACGACTCTGGTCGCGTGTCGTACTTCGTGTCGCGGCGCACGTGGCTGAAGGTGACCGAGTTGGTGCTGTCGTTGATGCGAGTCTCCGACCCTCGGATAGCGTCATTACGCGACCGTGTTCTACAAGGCCGCAGCACTGGACGCACTGAAGTACAAGTACTTTCGCCTATCACAGGTGAATAATCATAGCACTTATGTCAAATAAGTATAATTTCACAACCAGTTAGCTCCATCTTCTTTAAGTTTTTTAGGAATATACCATAACCATCTATGATAAACTACTTAATATGTCTATTAACGACAATTAATTATTTCGTATTTATATTGTATTATATTGAGGATACGACGACAGAATTTTCTAAATCGAATTTCGCTAAACAGGTCGCGTCATTGGACTTCGGGAAGTGAGAGTAGTGAACGATAAGGTATCTATATCCCGGCTGCTCGTGCGAGTTATCTCCGGCCTCCAACTGAACATCTCTCCAGACACAGCTATTGAAAATGGTTACGTATCGGAAACCACGGTCACTAGGCGTCTAACTGCACAATATCAGGTAAGTAGGGAAGAAACTATATTGAAAATATTTTCTTTCTTTAAAGTATACTACGAGTACATACTTAATTACATTTTTTTAATTTGTTTTTAGAAGTGAACGTTCTTTAGCATCGTTGCGTGTTGTGATAAGAAATAAATGAAACTACACTAAAAAGAGACAATTATATAAATATATAGGAGATAATCTATCTATACTAATATAATAAAGCGAAAGAAGTTTTTGATTTGTTTAACACGCTAATATCTGGAACTACCAGTCCGATTTGATAAATTATTATTGTACATGATGGCCAGATTCACGAAGAATAGTATAGGCTATCTAGCATTAGGCAACACCTCTCAGCTTGCCTTAAATATTGATTTTTATAATGCAAGTCGGAAGCAAAAGCGCTCCCGAACTGCTTAATCCGCGTGCGCTGGCGTAATGGTTAGAGATACGTAAATACTATGTTCTACAAAAATATAGATCTTTCTTTCATCTAAAAAAGAGTCCGCAATACCATAGTCCTATTACTTATACATAAGCCTCATTATGGTATTTTGTGACAAAATCATATTAAAAGTTAAAAATTAATCCTTACGAACGAAAGTTACTGGATTATCAAGACAATTATATGAAGATTAACCTTGCTCTTTATAGCATGTTATTTGGCTAAAGCCACCCGATGAGAACCGAAAGAAAATAAGCGAGGTGTCATGTCGCGCGGCGCATAGCGTGATATACTCAGGTGATATCACGGGGAACAACTACTTCAGTAGAAAATGTTTCCTATTATCTCGAACTCCACTGTGTGCGGTGCTTTAAAAATGGCTGATATAACTTTTAATGTTAAAATTAAAAACTTAAAAACTATAAATTAATTATAATATCCAAATCAATCTTAACAATCTACAATTTCATATCTTACAAATAAAATGATTTTATCCATAGAATTTATTGTATATTGATAAAATCATATTATCGAACAAAAATTGATTGACTGCAGTAGACGTCGCTATTGGAAAGCAATCTTCGTCGTAAGAAAATATTCTTTTGATTTAATACACTAAAATGTACGCTCCACATGTCTAAAAATAAGGATTATAACATTTATTTGCTGTAAAATTAAACTTTTATTGTATATTTTACATATACATCGCACTTGCGATTGAAAATTATCAAATTAATTTAATCATTTGCTGTGAAATGTTTTTGTTATTTCATTTGAAGGATTCACTTCTACCGCGTGTGAACTGCACCATACTTTTTTTATTGACGTAAATTGAAGACAGGTACTGAGATTCATCATTCCGTTATTTTTTTTTTGACGCGGGGTAATCCTCATGAATACCTTCTACTGCGGGTGTAAGGAAAGGTTAAAGAGCCAAGTACTCTTACCAGTTAAGACGTAATGGTAGTAGCGCAGGGATAGTGTCCAGGTTCCGATTTTTTTTTATCGAATAACCGTGGCAAACGAAAAACATTACTGGAAGTTCGAGGTCACCACGAGCCGCGTATCTAATAGCGAAATAATATCATCAAAAGAAGGACGTTGATGAATACCCTAACGGCATTGTCTCGGAATGGGAACTGTCCTCGCCCAATACCACTCAGCAATTTCCTTCTAAACCAGTAAGAACTTACAGAAGGTAGCTGCGGCCCTCCACGCTGTACCATTTTCCGCTTAGTATCACCGTCACTGCTGGCAAAGAAAGATTTTACGTGGTTTATGTGGTGGAATTTACACGTGGTAGAGCCATGCTGCAGCCATATTTGTAGTATAGTTGTAGCACGAATCGGTCGGCTCGACCGGGTAAGGACCACGCTCTCACAGAATACCAGCGTAAAATAGCATCTTAACACTGCTGTGTTTCGTATGGTGAGTGTAGAGAACTGGAGACCCTTTTTACTGGAAAAGAGGCATTCCATCTTAGTCCTCACGGGTGACAACGCATCTGCATTTTGATTCGCAAACGTGGATAGATATAGATGTCTATGGGCCACAGCTAACACTTACCATCAGGTGGACTGTGTGCTCGTTTGTCACCATATCCTATAAAAACCGAACCCGAGTCGTGGTCGTCGGTGGTCGAGTCGCACGAACCTGGTGAACCAGTCCGAACTGGTTCACCAGGTTTGTGCGTTCTCGTTCCCGCGCTGGGCACGCTATGAGTATGTGGGTTGTGGATTCCTGTTCGATCTAATGAATTAACAAATCAGATGATTTAGTTAAACTATTTGTTAAATAAATTATATGAAGTTATAAAATTGAATTCATCATTTATTCCATAATACCTTCATCATTGAATTCATCATAATACCTTCAGGGCAGGTCAGCAATTTTTTTTAAAGACCAGAACATTAAACCTAAGCTAAATTATCTTATTCTTAATGTTTAATATTTTTTACATAAAATACATGACAGTCACAGGTCTTAAATAACAAAAGTTTAATGAATCTTTTACGTAAGGCTTCGAGTTCTTGAAGGACGCGCTCGGGATATCTCTAGAATCCGCAAATTTCCCAAGAGATCTTGCCGGAAAGAAAACCTGTTCATAAAGTGACTTTATAACTTTTGAGGACATATCGTACAAGATTACTTTTAAATTGTTTAAGACGTTTCAAAAATATTATAAGTAACTATATTTATTGTAATGTATAATGTAATGAACTATACTATCGTAAAGGAAGAACATAAGTAGTTCATTTCTGTTAGAATATTGAAATGAATAATCTACATAATAACTTTTTTTTTCTCAACTAATGTTGTGCAATGAACAGCGAAGATGTTTTTGAACAAATACTGTCGTGCCTGTAGTTTCAATGTTCCTTTTTTCATATTCGAATCAAAGCATAAATTTTACCATCAACTGTGGTGAAACCCACAGTTGATGGTAAAATGGCCTTTTCCAAGACTGAACATTCACGTGGAATGGAATAGATCATTTTTAGTAAAATTGAATTAACTTGGTAGAGCCATGCTGCAGCTATATTATTATGTGTGTAGTATGGAAGGGTCAGCTCTACCGGGGAAAGACAACACTTTCACAGAATACCAGCGTAAAATGATGTATTATTTTGTATGTCAACTTTATGTAACTCTATACTAGAGACCTTAGGGGTATGCCTATGGGCCACAGTATCCACTTACTGTTAGCTACTACATAGAAAATAAATAATAAAATTATGGCACATTGAAACAACGCTATAGGGCAGGGGTTCCCAATTTTTTTTTGCCAAGGAACCCTAATTGATTATACTTTTCCTAGCGGAACCCTACCTTCATAAATGGAAATTTGCCTACCTTGAAAAAGGTATAAATGAAAAACAATAAAGTTTTTATGAAATTATTTTTGTACATTTACTGTGAATATGTAGGTAGGTACATAAAGTAATAAAACGTACAAAAAATTTCATTCGTCACATTAAATTCATAAAAACACGTTTGTGAATTTAATGTGACGAATGAAATTTTTTTACATATTTTCTTAAAATAGCATTAAAATTAGGCTTAATGTCCGACAGTTGAACGCGAAGATCTGGAGCTGCATCCAGTCTATTTCTGTACTTGCTTTTGGTGTAAGCATATGCGGAAAAACCAGTCTCGCATCGGTAAGTCGTCACAAACGGTAACAGTAATGTGATGGCTCTATTAACAATTTCTGGGTATTCATCTTTGAGTCCAATCCAAAAGGCGTTTAAATCAAAAGTTCCTTCTTCATACTTTTGTTTTAGCGTTGATGAAAATTTGATGTCAATCAAATTCTCATACTCTGACACCGACAGCATCGAAGGTTTGGTGTGATTTACAAACGGATTCTGCACCCAGTCCATGTCCTGCAACTGCTCCGGAAAATACTCATGCAAAGATTTTGTAAGGCTTGTCAAATGCTCATGTATATTCTTTTCCACGTCTGAAGATACCCGCAGCTCATTTTCTTTTAGAAAGTCATTTAATATTGTGAAACATTCGTAATTATGTTTTTCAACACATTCAATCCAGAACGCAAGCTTGTTTTTCAGTGAAGACATTTTATCATTTACTGTAAATTTTGTTGTAGCTCGTCCCTGTAATGCCTTGCAGATTACGTTGAGCTTATCGAATATATCAGCTAAATAAGCCAATTGCATCAACCATTGCTCATCATGCAGCAGTTCAACAAGCTTATTAACGTGTGCAGAAACTGGTTGTTTGGTAAAGAATATCTTAAGCTCGTCGTGCAATTCAAACAGCCTTAATAGAACTCTTCCTCTTGAAAGCCATTTTACTTCCGTGTGAAGAAGAAGTGATTGATGCTGACTTCCTATATCCTCACACACTTTTTTAAAAAGCCTCGACTGGAGTGGACGTGATTTAACGTAGTTTACAATTAGTACTGCTTGGTCGAGAACTGTCTTGAGCTCGTATTGCATTTTTTTTGCGACAAGGGCATGGCGATGTAAAACGCAGTGACTGCTACTACATTTAGGTGCAACCTCCTTGATTCTTGTTACAGTGCCTTTTATTTTGCCAACCATAGCTGCCGCTCCATCACTACACACGTCAATACATTTGTTCCAATCAATATGGTGCTTAGTCATGTAACTATCGATAACTTTAAAAATTTCTTCTCCGGTTGTGTTGGTTTCTAAAGGAGTACAAAGAAACAAATCCTCTTCAATAGATCCTCCAAAGGGATATCTCACAAAAACAAGCAGTATTGATAACCCGACGACATCTATACTTTCGTCCAGTTGTATTGCAAACATCTCGCTGGTCTTCAATCCACTAATTAATTCATCTTGAATATGGTCAGAAATCTTATGAATTCGATCAGAAATGACGTTATTTGAACACTGCCCTGCTGACACTTTCTTTGCTGCTTCTTCTCCAAGTACACAAGTGACAATTTCTGTCATACATGGTTTTATTAAATCCTCTGCAATCGTGTGTGGTTTACCAGCACGAGCGATTTTGTAACTTAGCAGAAATGATGCCTCTGTTGCATTTTCATTATCGGTCTTTACAAATTTTTGTATAGCAGCTGTACCAGTTCTACGCACTTCTTTGTGTCTTTCAAAAAAGCTGACGCTTTTATCTTTCAGTTCTGGGTGGTTCGTGTCAAGATGTCGTTTAAGCTTTGCAGGTACCAGTGAGCTATTACTTATTATTTTGTTGCAAATCACACATTGTCCATCCGAGTTCTCAGTCATTCCCACAGGAACAAATCCAAAGGACAAGTAGGATTCGTCGTATCTTCTCTTTTTTGAAGAAGTTTTCTCCTGGGTTGCAACTCTTTTGGTGATTGTATGTTGTATATTCAGTCCGGCACTAGGGTCTTGTGTATTTAGCAAACCCTGAAAAGAATTGACAAACAATGATAACCACCACGTACGTATAATCGACAATAAATAAAATTAGTAAATTTAGTAAATAACTTGTATCACAGTAAATTACCCAAATAATTGTAAAAAAAACTTATGCATAACTTTCTTACCGACGATCCAGGAACATTTTCTGAAATATTTTCAATACACACTGCTGGTGGCTCTGAATTTAATGAAGAATCCGAAATCCTTTTGCCACTTGTGAGGCGCCCCGTTTTGAGCCAACTTTCCATTTTGAACTACCTACAATAAAAATAACACGTGAATATATCTCTCGTATTTTATTTCGAAAATGTGTCTACAAATAAACAAAAACATTGTGACTTACCAGTAAAAAAATTCCAGATCAATAGGTACCCAACAACAGGTATTTTTTCACTACAGCTATTCACTAATTCAATAATTGAAATACGTGTGCTCTTATCGCGATCTAGACCGGTATAATCAGCCCCGCCGCGCCGTCGCGTCGCTGCAACACGGGCGCGCGGGGCGTGGGGGGCTGTGCGCGCCAGTGTCTCCATATACACGGTAATTACCGGTTTTTTAAAATTTTATTAGTAATTAATTAAAAGCAAACATATTTGGACTTGGTTTGGTTCATAATGTTGTATTTTTCTTAGAAAAGTTACACGGTAATTTACACGGTAAAGTTTTAGTAAATCCACCGTAATTTTATCAAGAAACACGGTATTTTTTACCCTTGCAACACGGTAACTCTCGATTTACATATGGAGACATTGTGCGCGCTGTCACTATTTAGTAATCTGTGGCGCTGTACTACTTCGCCCGCACGCCCTGCCCCTATCTCGTGCGTAAACAAGTCGGTGCGCGCGAGCGAACAACGTTGGTCACGAAACGTGTGATAATATTTTTTACGGAACCCTTGCGGCCTTTCCACGGAACCCCAGGGTTCCGCGGACTGGCCCCCGACCACCGTAGGCGCGGGCCTGTGGACGGCGAGCAATGGGTAGCTCGCCGTCCGTCCGTCTAACGACGACAGGCCGTGTCGACGGCGCGTTTTGTTCCACGCGCGCCTCAAAGAGCTGTCAGCAGCGTGAAGGGGCCCGCAAGGGCCGACGCCTGCCGGGGCTGCGGGCTGTTCGAAAGAGATACCGCGGCTCCGGAACGTAAGGGCACTGAAGGAACACGGATGGTTTTTAGTCAGTAAAAGTCTGACACTCCCTTCCGCTCCACCCACAGCGAAAGGCGTCATTAGATGATTTTCCATCCGCAAAAAAAAAAAAAAAAAAAAAGGGTTCCGCGGACCACCTTTCGGGAACCGCTGCTATAGGGAGTACGAAATTAACGCTACCTATGCGTGCATGTAGGCTAAATGAGAGAGAGAGAGAGAGATATGTTACAAGAGGAAATTTAATTATGTAACTAGAAACGTTACAGACTCGTGGCCTATTGCTGAATGCTACAAAACTTATTATGTGTGTTTAACAAACCTGTGATTTAAACTACATCCTACAATCAATGGAAGTACCAGGGTAGTATAACACGTGAGAGTCAGGGAGATTCATAGATATGACTAGCGCTCTCCGCTCTTCCTGGCTTCGCCTGGTTATAATATATCTCGTATATTAATGTTGCATTATTTAAGTCCATTTATTTAATAAATTTTTCGTTCTTTTTTCTTCAAAAAATACCTTTGAGTTTATTCGGGTAAATGGCCTAGATGTAAAGTTTCATTGCAACAATCATTTGGACTTCATTTGTAACTGCAAAACGCGTACCTATTCAATTAGATTATGGTACTTATAAAATAGAACGACTAAAAATGTTATAACAATACATTATTTGAAAGTTATACTATCGAAGAACATAAGTATGTAAAAACTTTCATTTCAAATAAATTAAAGAGCGTTGTATATTAGTATAAAAAAAACTGCTATAGAACTTGGCTTGGCACCCGATCTCAACTCTGTCGGTGAAGCCGAAAACCTCGATCGTCGTTTGTATTAAACTTGGCTCCATTACATTTTCATTTTTTGTTTTGGCAAGATACAAATAAATAAAGTAATATCTTAAAAATATTAAAAACATTTATGTTAAATAATTCAAGGCTAACAAACAAAACAATCGCAAGAAAAAAGATTATGCTACTAGTATTAATAACCATACATAACTTGTGTAAACATTACAGGAGGGCCTACTGGATATAGATATTGAGTTCTCGGACGGCAGCCACACGGCATTGCGTGACGTAGCGGTGTCTGATTACTATTTGCTCGTTGAGAGCCTCGACTCTGAAGTGGTGGCGTTCGCGCCTATGTTGGCATCGCGGCATCCTCGCGTTATAGCGGTTGGTGAAGGTGCGTACATTTATTTTATGTTTATTATTCTAACTTAATAATTAAATTAATAACGCAATTTTTGACATTAAATGTTACTTTAATAATTAAAATAGTAATAAAGTTTTCACTGTGACTTAAGTATAGAAGACTAACGGCCAAATACTCAAACGCTACTTAATTTTAGGAGGACGTTAATATTCGTGGGGTCACAGGCACTTTGACTTTTAAAGTGATAAAGCACGAGACTTAACGGCGTCTTAAAATTGAGCAACATTTGATTATTTGGGCATTATGTGTATAGTTTTCATTTCGACTTTACACACAGGGGACAGCCCGTCCCAAAGCTGGGCACAAGCTCCTCCATTTCTGAGAGGGCTAGGTAAATCCGCCACGCTGCCCCAGTGCACGTTGGTAGATCTCACATGTGCAGATCTCACATGTGCCCGAAATATTATATCTCTTAGATGTGCAAATTTTCCAAATTAAAATTTTTGCAAATCCAAGAGGGTTGTGATTTTAGCAGTATAACTATGTATATCTCTTTCCCTAGTATCTAAACTACGAGCATTGAAGTACCTATATTGTACTTCCGCAATGTTAAAATATGATGTTGGTATCAAATAATCAAGTTTTAAAGGGTACTTTCCGAAAATATATAAATATGTGAAAATATATAAATATGAAAATATATATAATATAGGACTACCCTCAACGGTCCCCAAAATAATATAAATAAAAAGAAAGTTCAAAATTATAAATCCGCCTTTTATTGAAGTAGGGTTTTGTTTTTGAACTTGATTCTGTAAAGTGTGCACATGTTATTTTTTTTATAAAGAGGATAGGGTATCGCCGATTTGGTCGATAAACCTTCGTCTAGGGCGTCCCTTCCCGACCCTGCCGTTCACTTCCGCAACATAAATTTGCTTTGTCACTCTTTCCTCGTTCATTCTTTCTACATGACCAAACCACCGAAGCATTCCTTTCTTAATCCTTGTCACAACGTCATCTTGCAAAGCACACTTTTCTCTTATCACACTATTTCTCACCCTGTCATTCAGATTCAGCCCTAGCATACTCCTTAAGGAACGCATTTCTACAGCATTTATTCTACTCTCATGCTTCTTCTGCCAGACCCAACTTTCACTACCATACATTAAAGTAGGGACTAACACAGCATTATGAATTGCCATACGTGCCTTAGTTGACACATTCTGACTCCTCATAATAGCGTGTAGAGCCCCATTCACTCTATTGCCTGCGTTTACTCGTCGTTCTATATCCTTATCATATCTACCATCCCTGCTAAATAAACATCCCAAATATACAAACTCATCCACTTGCTCAATCAACTCCCCTTCTATTCTTATTTCACATAAAGTTTTACTTTCTTCTCTTTCAAAAACCATCACTTTCGTCTTACTTGCGTTCACTTTCATACCCCTTTCTTTCAATGACCAATTCATTAAAGTAACCATCATTTGCAACTCGGCCGCCGACGATGCAAATATGACTTGATCATCGGCATACAAAAGGCATTTGACGGTTGACTCACCCATTCTCAACCCACATTCTTCAACTTTCAAAGTTTGCAAACAACTGTCCATAAATAAGTTAAACAGCCACGGGGAAGCCACACATCCCTGTCTGACACCTTTATGAATGCCAAACCAGTCCGAGTAGACCCCGTTGATCCTGACACAAGCACTAGAGTCCCTATAAAGAGATCTTAATGCCTGTATCAAGCCAGCGCTCAACCCAAATGAGTTCAGTGTTTGCCATAACACATTCCTGTCCACTCTGTCATAAGCCTTTTCCAAGTCCATGAACGCACAAAAAACTTTCTGGTTTTTAGCCAAAAACTTCTCCGCTATCATGCGCATGGAAAAGACTTGATCCGTACACCCCATCCCCTTTCTAAATCCAGCTTGCACATCCCAAATTTTTCCATCAGTTTCTTCCATAACTCTTTCAATTAACACCTTAGCATACAGTTTACCCACAATGCTAAGCAAGCTGATACCACGGTAGTTTTTACAGTCCTGCTGCGACCCCTTTCCCTTATATATTGGGACTATAACGGCTTTGCACCAGTCTTCCGGTACCCGTTTCAGTTCCCAACATAAATTAAACAAGGTGTGCAGCAGGCCTGTAACCACACCCTCACCAGCCCTCAGCATTTCGAGTGATACTCTATCATATCCGGCTGCCTTACCTGCTTTCATGCTTTTCATTGCTTTCATTATTTCATCTACACTTATCTCCCTACCTCTCTCCACTTCTTCCGGAATTTCTATTTCACTTATTCCAGACGACTATTCACTCTTAAACACGCTTTCAAAGTATTCCTTCCATCTCTTTAAATTCGAAACTTCATCATTCAGCATGCAGCCATTCTCGTCTCGTATAGCATTTATTCTAGGCTGTTTTGAATTTCCCCTGGCAGTTCTTACGAGCTTCCAGAACATTTTAATATTTGCCTGGAAGTTATCAGATATCCTTCTATCATTCTTATCTATCCTTTCTTGCTTTTTCCTTTCAACGACTTCTTTTACTCTCTTATTTATACGTCTAAAGTCTGCCTTTTTTCTTTCAATCTCATCATTCATACCGCCAGAATTACCAGCTTTAGTTGCTAGTAAATCTAGCCATGCTCTCTTCTTTGCTTCAACTTCCATCCGTACCTCATCATCCCACCACAACGTATTACTTTTCCTTTCATTCGTTCTCTTACTTACACCGCATACTTCGGTGGCTGCATCCACCAAAACTTTCTTAATATTATTCCATACATTCTTCAATTCTAAATCATTCATACATAATTCATTCAACCCACTTATATTTTCCCTCAATCTGCATTTATACTTCTCTTTCACACCTTCATCTTGTAACCTCTCTATTCTTATACGCTGTAACGCAGTGATAGACACCGATGT